TCCCTCCTCTCTTCTCTGACGGTGGGCATCTAGCAGTAGTGCTGTTACTCAGTGTATGCAGGCTTTAGTAGGCAGGATTCTAAAAAGACAAATCATCAGTGTAGCTTACATATATAGTATCTGAAACTACTGGGGAAGGGAGAGCGCAATAAACTCAACAGGACAGGAAACTGGATGTCGCACAGCAGGAAGTATATTTTTTGACGAGGAAACCCCTCGACCATTTAAATGATCACTGCATAGATGCAAAAGTACTTTAAAGAATATGGAATAGAGCCAGGTTAGGCAAACACCAGCCCTTCAGCTGTGGGGAAACTACAAATCCCATCATTTCTCTGCCTCTCAGAGTCAGGTTTGCGGCTTTCATTGTCTTGCAATGTCTCATGGGACCACAATAGCTGGGGGGCCGGAGTTTTCCTACCCGTGAGACAGAGGATCATATTGAGAAGTTATACTGCTACACTTGATGGGTTATCAATATGAGATTGGAGTTTGGTTTCAATTCACAGAAATTAAGTATAAGAAATATTTTCTGAATAAGGTTAAAGGGAAGAATTTTGCAGGCTCTGTCCTGTCGGTGATGTATAACATGGTGTTTTCATGGCCTCCACTACTTTTCTGGTAGGGTAGACATAGAGGACTACCTCAGGGAAACAGAGTCAGCATTCCCTCTGCTGTTACCACTGGACATACCCAGTTATATCAAGTGGGGTATGTCTTTGGGGCTACTGACTGCTAAGGGAGGAGGTGGGTGCATTTTTAAATGTTTTTTTCAGGCAGGAATGTCCCTGGGAGCAAAGTCCATAATTTTAGGTGACCATGGAGAGCTAACTCAGGTTACAGCACACAATAAATTACACAACTCTATAAGTGTACAAGCCGGGGTTCCAACTCTATAAGTCTGTAAGCAGGGTTAGTCCAGTCAACAACAAAAATATAGTTGTTTATTTTAACTGGTAGCCCATTATATAGCCAAATCAGTTTAGTTATAGAATAATGTTTAAATGGCAGCATAGAAGTAAACCTGTCCCTGATAGCTCATCTCCCCCACTGCTAATACTTCACCATTCCCACAGTCTCCTACCATTTTATTCCTCCCCTGGAGCCCTGTTAAATACCTGGTAATTCTGGGTATGGGGAAGCATTTAACTCTCTTCCACTCCTCCAGGGATGCAGTGCCGGGCCCCGATTGCTGTCATAGAGTTCAGAGTAAAGTTTTTAACATTGTGTAAGCTCCAATCAGGCCATCCTCGGACTTACACAGGGCTCTTTCCCGGCAGACAAGCAGTGCAACGGAGTGGCATGGCATGGTAAAAATTAGGGATGCACTGATACCGTTTTTTTGCCGATACCGATACCGGAAGTCCCATTAAGGAAGCCAGGTGGCGTGCAATGACTCACCACCTGGCTTCCTGATTAGCCAGGAAGCCGGGTGGTGTGTAAAGACTCGCCACCCAGCTTCCCGATTAGCAGGGACGCCATCTCCATGCTTCTCATCACTAGATGACGAGAAAGCATGGAGCCGGCTTTCTGGCCAGTCAGGAAGTCGGGCATCGTGTAAAGACAAGGTGGCAAGTGAGCATGATGCCAGGTTCCTGGCCAATCATTACACGGCGTCTGGCATCCTGATTGACCAACTTTCTGACCAATCAGTAAACCGGGCAGCAAATCATTACACACTGCCCGGCTTCCTGATTGGCTGGGAAACCGGCTCCATGCTTAAACGTCACAAGTGACGAGGGAGCATGGAGCTGGCTTCCCGGCTAATCAGGAAGACATGTAATAACTTGCTGCCCGGCTTCCTGATACCGTAAGCTTGGGTATCGGGCTAGGCATCGGAGCATTTGGGCGAGTATGATTACTCTTTCAAATACTCAGCATGGATACCGATACTAGTATTGGTGCATCCCTAGTAAAAATTGCCAGTGAAGAGGGTGGACAGTCAATCCCCAAATAGTTAAAGTGCAGGTTGGCTTTAAAATGATTAATACTGTAATAATAATACTTACTTTTTAGCTATATTATGTCATACTTTTTACCTAAAATTTCATTTATATTTACCTGCAACCTAAACTTTGATACATAAATCAGTGTGGTGCAGTTATAGCGATTGAGGGGTATACATTATTATTTCAGGAAATTGAAATTACCTAGAGCAGCATTACCCTTTTCACTTGGCATCAGATCACATAGAGGGGGTGATTTACTAACCTAAACACACACACGCACCAGGTGCGTGTGCATTTTTACACAGCAAAACGTATTTAGCAACCAAACACGAGCAATGTGTCACATTTTCACGCCGTTACGGCGCGTTTTTATGTATTTACGTACGTGCGCGTCATGTAGCATGAGTCTCTGATAGCTGTTAGCTTATTGTAAATAGTTAATCTTCCATTGTTACCATTTCCAGCATTTCAAATTTTAACATATTTTATCAAACTGTTCTAACAGGCCGCTATCATTTGCCAGCTTTTTTATTTCTCAGTGGTGCAGATATGTTTTTGTACTCAGTTTGTACTGGCTTATTTTGATATAAACAACAGGGTTCATTTTTGCGAAGAAAGTAGTAAGTGTATCAATCAGCACATTAGCTAACAGCAAACTGCAAAAAATAAGGTGTTTAATAATTAAAATGGCTTTTCTAAACATTTGCATTTACTATAGTATTGGTACAAAAAGTCTAAAGGCAGCAAGCTGTAATTTGACATTGCTGACATATAATAAATGAATGCCTAGAACACTTTTCAAATCTCACTTTTCATAAGTAAAGCAGTGCTACAAGCAATTTACCACTCATAAGTAAACAGCAAGCAAAGTTTGCCAATTTGAAATTACCTGCGTAAAAGTGTCTGAAATAAGATCTGCTGCATTGCCCATTGCAACACATCAGATTTCATTTTCTAATCTGAAATGGCAGCTTAAAGTATTAAAGCCAATGGGTTAATATGGACACCAAAGTTTTGTGCATATTTTTATGCTTTTTACACTCAGCCTTTAGAGCACTGAGCCTAGTGGGTAAAAGTATCAAATATAAAAAACTGTGAGATTGTTCCTTCATTTCTCTACTCCGTATTAGAAAAAAGTGAGTGTTTTGAGCAACACACATAGTTTTGGGTTCATTAGCCTTCATGCACTGTAATTGAGGTCCATTGTTTTGGAAAAATTAGATTCTTACCAAAAAAAAAGTAATTGTGATTCCTGTTCAACAAAAAAATAGTCACAGCCACATTACATATAATTGTTTTGTTCAGAAAATGTCCATTATTTTTACCACTAGTGTCCAGCTGAGATTTGACCCACATCATCCATAAGCAGCCTATGTATGAGTCACAGTAAAAACTACAGAGCTTTCCTACGGACAAATATCTTTTTAAATCTCACCTCTGGGATCTGCATGGCCGATGGATAGGAAGAAAAGCAGGAAAATGACTCCTTTCATTTTGAAATTGTTACCTCCAGATGGCTCAGTTCTGTATGTGCCAAACAAGCTGGATTCAGATTTATATAGGAGGTAAGTAGATAAATGATTAATTACAGAGCTGCTAGAAGGGGTGTACAACCCTGACCTTTACTTCTAACATAAACAAAAAAAGGCAATGTGAAGACAAACAAAGATATTCCGTTGGAGAATTTTGCAACTCAATCAATGATTAACATTGGCAATAAGTAAACATTTTAATTACACTTTCATGCATACCTCAAAGTAGAATAAAACAGGCAGAAAACCTTTAATTCAAGAAAAACTGTTCTGTGTGCAGATTATTATAATCATTATCACTCCACTTAAAGTTACAAATTTGAAATATTGGATGCGCATATCCACAATCTAGTATATATGTAATTTGTAATTATTTAAAAATCAAATTGATTTATCGGTTTTATTTAATTGCTGGATTTTGTTGGCTATTTTTGCAGTTCATTTGGTTTTGTATCAGAGGCAGGAAAACAAGGTTTATAACTCCTATCAGTAGGCATGCTGCCTAAGTAATCTCCTAGAAATCCTGATTTGCTAACCTCCTGCCTACATTATGCAAACCTAGCTAGGTGTCACAATTTTTCCTTCTCTTTGTGATGTCTTTTTGTGAGATACCAAGTATGATATAGACTTTTTTTTTCTATGGCGGTCTAATGTGTCCTACTAGCCTTCTGCACCCTGCAATATAGATGTGTTTGGTGTTTAAAACTGATTTGTATCTACTTATACATTAGCGTAACCACTTTTTATGAATATAATTCCATTACAGTAGGAGTTATGGAGTGTGAATTAGAGTGGAGATATATTATATATTCCTTATTATATTCATTATATTATTATATTCATTTTCCTTATTCCTTTTAAGAGAGTATATATTAGTTTGAAGATGAGTTTAGAAAGTATTAGGCCTTTTTACATGAATTTGTGTATTTGGAAAAGATTGGTAGAGTGCATAGGTTGCAATTAAAAATTTGAAAACATCAGTGTAATATACTCACCTGCTCTCTAGTCAGGAATGGAGTGATGAGGACTCCGACAACTGCCTACCTGCTAAACACAGCAGTCGGTGACACTCCTCTCCTCCCTCTCCAGTCAGCTGAAGGTTTTTTAGCAGCCAGCTTTGAAGTACACAGCTTCCTAGTATTCTCCTGGGTGCCGAGCGCTGCTGCTACCGGCAAGAACACTTTCCATCCTGACTGTAATAACAACAACTCTAAGCCACCAATTCCCTCTCCACACCAGCCTGCTTCTCCAATACCTCGCCATCCTGGATGTTCCCCTGCATGTACTATAGCACACCACCACCGCTGCTGCCATTAAGGATTAACGCCTTTTATCCTGGCTCATCGCAATGCTGCTGAATCCTGCTGACACAGAGACTGCCTCTTTTCACTTAGGTAGCAGATCCTTCTTCTAACACCTACCATCCGGCCTTACCTTATCCAAGTTGCTGAAGTTTCACCAGTCTCTTCTTCGCTGAACTGGGTCCTTTAGTGATGGCTAAACACAAGTATTAACTTACCTTTGATAACATTCATATTCGTTGACTTAACCAATCTGATAAGTCCATGCCTGTTATAAAGGATTGAATACTTGTTGATCAATCTCTATGTGGGTTATCCATAAAGCAGCCGAAGGATCCAGGCTGACCTGAAGGCATATGCTTCGTCTTGACTGAGGCGAAGTGACAGCTGAAGCAGGGCGAACGGCCTGCTGAAGGCCGGCCTTTCTCCCCGCAAATGACAGCTGGGCGGAGCCAGCCGTTATCTCACAGCTTGCTTCGCCTACTTGTAATGACAGATCAGCATCCCCAAATGACCTGGGGACGCTGAACTGTCATTAAACAATAACAACTAGGTGGAGCCGGCCATTACATCACAGCTGGCTTGGCCCAGTTGTTATTTATTGGCCGGGACCTGCTAGAAGACTAGCAGGTGCCAGCCAATAGGAAACAGTTGGGCGGAGCTAGCTGTACTGAGGTACCGAGCAGAATAGCCGAGACGAATGCTGCCCGGCGACATTCGGCTATTCACTCACTGCCGTTCAGCCCCTATGTGAATAGGGGTGAAAGGCAGCGAGTGAGCTGCCAAAGCTTCGGCTCAGCTGATCCAGATAATGGATCGGCTAAGTCAAAGTCCATCGGGTCAGCAAGTTCATCTGAACGAAGTGCAGCTGAAGGCAGGAGATGTATGGCTGATTTCAGCTGATGTACGGCTGAAATCAGCCGTACTGAGCCAGAGTGAATAGTCGAACATAGTTCGGCTCACTTCACTTCGGCTGGGTTATTCACTCAGCTGCCTTTGGCACACATTAACTTAAACACCAGATCCAAGGATTTCCAGAGCCTCTGAGTAAGTTAACCCAGTTGTTAGCCTGTGCAGTTGTGGATCCATTGGAATAGATTAGTTATTACAATCAGTAGTTAAGATGGAGATACATAAACTACTATCATTACCATCGTCACCACCAGCTGACACTACACAACGTCAACAGCTGTTGAAAAAAAGAAGAGCCCCCACCAAAATCATTATGGTCATCATCACCGACTGTAGCTGCGTTGAATCCACCTACTGCAATTGTGTAACCTGACATAAAATACCAAATGTGTCATCTTTGTTAAAATACTGCTGTGACTTGTTTAAATTTTTGTTCTTTCCTAAAGGGAAGATTGACTAAGGAAACGTTTGTTTGACTTTCTAACAGATAATGGTCGATGATCAATTTAGACTGCAGTGACAAAAAAGTCAAAGGAGCATGTTGGAAAATGCAGGAAAGCCCATTTACTCCAAGATCGAATGGTTAATCAGAACGAAAATCAAACGGAATTTCAAACGACATTCGTCAAGTGTGTGATGGAATTATAGAACATTCCGAGGAGATATTTCGTATAAACGTTTGTTCAAAAATCTACTAGTGTATACCCTACTTTAGGGACCCATGCCAAAGCGTGTCCAGGACATTGTGAAACTTTTTCTGGTGCTTTTTTTGTATCCTGGGAAGAAAGACTTACAGGGTTATTCACAAAAGGGTGAAGAGTTTGGAGAAGGCAGGACAAATGAACAATCTAGGACAACATAGCTGAACTGGAAACATTCTTCAATTCAGCTCACTTTCCAGTTCAGCTATGTTGTCCTAGATTGTTCACTTCTCCTGCCTTCCCCAAACTCTTCACCCTTTTGTGAATGACCCTTTTTTATGTTATGTTCTGAGGAATAAACATTACTGTGTTACAAAATAATAAAAAAAGTTTTGTTTTTTGAAAGATTGTGAACTTGTATATGTAACAGGTGCTTAGATCATGACATAGCTTTTCATCAATCATAATCTCCATTTACATGCCCCGCTGTCCTTTCCACGATGCATCTGACTATCTGTGCCTATAGTTAATTTGCATATCTGCTAATTTTAAAAATATGATGACATACATTATTATAAATGACTACAGTGATGGAAAAAGGAATTCACGGCATTTGCGATGGTTGCTTTTCTTTGCTTGTGATTTCCTACACCAGTTTAATAGGCGGGTTAATTAGCATGCAGGTGTTGGAGTTGACAAGTTTTTTTTGTTTTAAGATTTTCTGGCATCTTCTGAATTCCACCTGCATTAGTGCACCTGTTTATTTTGTCTTTTGCCAACACTTGACGTGCATGTGGTTTGACAGTATTAATTGAAAATACATATGGCTATTGTGTTCTACAGGCATGTCCGTGCCCTTGTCAACCATCCTAAATTTTATATAAATACATGTAATGCCCCCCGACCCTGAAGGTGGTGACCCCCATAAGCAGGGAGGGCTGACATTTCACTCTCAGGGATGAATCCTTAGCCGGGTTGTGGGATGTGATCAGTAAATTGGGCACCAGTCAC